CACATTAGGATTGGCTACAATTAGGGGTGTGTGGCCTAACATGCAAAGGAGTTCCTGCTACAAGAAAAGCCCTGGGTTTTGACAACAAACAGGGTAAACAGAATAAGAAGCAAAAGGTGGGTGTGGCTGGATGACTACACTTCTGGTAACATGGGGGTGCAGCCTAATATGCTAATGAGCTGTGTTGTCAGGGGTGTGGCCTAATATGCTTATGAGTTTCTGCTGTTGGGTGTGGTCTATTATGCTAATGAGTTCCTGCTGGACTTTTTCTACAAAAAGAGCCCTTGATTATACCTTGTTCCTGTGGATCTCTCTGGATTATATAATCACCTGGAGGTTACCAGCCCTCCTTGTATTCCCAAGGCGGTCGTTGATAACCCAGAAGCAACAGTGTTCTTCTTTCTACCGCCGGGACTCGGAAGAGGGACTGCGATAAAGTTCTTCGTTGGCTCCTTCTCTTTTAAGACTCCATTAACGTTGCTGCAGTTTGTGGAGCCAACGAGGTGGGAAAGAAGGCCCCGGCCTGAATGGAGACTGAACGGAGAGTCGTAGGATTAAGCGGGGGGACTACAGGGGAGCCAGTGTGGGCGAGAGCGAAGAACGCATGTTGTCACCGCAGACTCGTGGAGAGGCAGGGGTGTGTCGGCGGGAAGGGGCTAGCACAAAATCGGAACGGGAAAGGAGGATCCGGAAGCATTGCCGGAGGTGGAGCCGGGCTTGGGAGGTCGGCGATAGCCAGGAGAACGAAACGAAACGCAAGGGGGAAATTCAAGAGCATTCGAAAGCACCCCCCTTTAGGGCAGTTTCCGGCAGTCGCGGTGCCGCTTCCCAGGGAGAAGCCGCGTGCCGTCCTCCCTGCCTTTCATAGGAAGGCGAAGCGGACTCCCCGCAAAACGTGGCCTTGTCCAGGACTCGGGCTCAAACACCTCTCCTCCTCTTTCCCCACAAACAGGAGCCAGCCAGATCAACCAAGTCGTGAGCCACCCGACCCAGCCGGTCACCATCACGGCCCACGACGACCGAGGCATCCGCTTCCTAGACAATCGGACAGGTGAGACCGGAATTGGGCGCAGTGATGTGACCTTGCTCTTCTTCTTCTGTGGGGCAGAGCAGCACCCCCTAGGGTTCCTTCACGGGAGTGGAAGGAGAGCGCCCCCTGCCACAGTTGCCGTACTCTTTTCCCTGAAGCCACTTGGGTAGCCTTATTTAGAAAGTTAGTACCCTGCCTTTCTGGATGACGACAGCGGCGGCTCCCTCCCCAAATACGCTTCTCCCAAAATGACTCCTCCGGGGGAGTTGCATATTGTGTCTTTATTTACTTAATTCATTCGTGCCCTGCCTTCCTTCCAATGGGGGACCCAAAGCAACTCACAAAATTCTCCTCTCCTCCATTTTATCTTCACGACAGCCCTGCGATGTAGGTTAGGGTGAAAGAGTTTGACTGGCCCAAGGTCAGCTTCCATGTCAGAGCAGGGATTTGAACCTGGGTCTTCCCGTATGGTAATCCGGCACTCCTAACAACGACACCACCCTGGGCTGCCAATAGCGTAGAACTGCTGCGACTGACATAAAGATACGTGTTCAGAATTCTCTCCTCTTCCTTGTTCAGGAAAAGTTGTCCACTCCATGGTGGCTCATCTAGACGCCGTCACCTGTCTCGCCGCGGATCCCAATGGAGTCTTCCTCATGTCAGGGAGTAAGTTGGCTTCCCTTGCGCTTGGAATTTTTGTGCAGTCTGCAAACAGGAGCTCCCTGGGCTGAATCTGTCTGACTCTGTCTCCTCCTGGCACCATGTGGGCTGAAAATCACATGGTCTGGAGGCAAACAAAGGGGTAGAGAAGAAGAGGAGGAGGAGACTGGATTTATACCCCGCCCTTCACTCCCCAAAGGTGCCTCAGAGCGGCTGACAAACTCCTTCCCCTCCCCACAACAGACACCCCGTGAGCAATGTTCCCTCTAAGCCGTGGAGTCTTGTGAGCGAAAATTCTACTCTGTGAGCTGCTGGCATTAAAGTTGTGAGCCAGCGATTTGGCTACTGCATAAATCAGTTTGCTCTGGAGCCGTCCTTCCTGAGCGAAGACCAAAATGGGTGAGCTGGAGGCTAAAAAACCCAGCAGGTGGTTGTCAGCAGTAGTCTGACGTCTGAGGGAACCGGGTGCAGAGGCAGGACTACAGACTTTGTGTTCTGAGGAGGGACTTAGGCGACAGGGCCAATGGAAGCTGGGGAAGCTTCTGACGGACAGTTCAAGCCTCCAAACACTGTTGGTGCGCATTTTCTCTCCGCTGCATCTGACACTGCATATTACTCAATTATATAACAGGGAGAGATTTAATTTGATTCGTAATCCCGCCCTCCCTGCCAAGGAAGGCTCAGGGCAGCTTACGTTAGAAACTTAAAATATATTAAAACACAGAATGTATTGATGCAACGCAACGTCATCAAACTCACACATAGCAAACCACAAATACAGATAAAGTGCTGGTGGCGGTAGCATCCCGATAGGCCATGATAAAGTGATAGCGAAGTATGGCCACCATCGGTGTCCAATAGATAACAGGCTGTTGGTGTTAACATAGAGGGCCTTGACAGGTCAGTTGTTATCAGTAGCGGCAGCAAGTTGAAGGCGGCTGAGAAAGAGGAAGCAGCAGCAAGGGGCGGATGGACTCCATCCAGGAAGCCCCGGCCCTCCGCTTGCCAGCCGAACGATTCGGATGTTTCGGGGGATAGTAATTCCACGGGGTTGCCAGAAGTCGAAAGCCGCTTGACAGCCCTTCACACGTGCCTGTTGTTCCCAGCCACCCTAATAGCGCTCACTTCTCTCCCAGCCCCAAATTAGGTTGAGTACTTTTTTGAGAACACGTATGCAAATGTGCCCTAACAAGCTGTCGGGGTGGGTGGGCTTCCCCCCCCCCACTAACCCCCCAGTCAGGCCCGTAGCCAGGGTTTTGTGGCTCGCGGGGCCAATTTTTACTGGCGGGGCTGAAGTTCTCAGTGCTGAAAGAAACGCCATTGAGCCAATAGAAAGCTGGTAGCGGGAGAGATCTCTAAATTTCAAGCTGCCAGCCTCTTTAGATGACAGTTTGTAGCTGCCGCAAGTTAATCACTTCTGCCAGCCTAAGCAGCAGTTCTGAGAACAAGCCGGCAGGTGGGGGTGGATGACTTCTGTAGTCAAGAAAGCTTAACAGGAAGAAAAACTCCCTGAAAGGAGACCAGTTTCTTGACACAGAGTTAGAAGGGATCCTAGAGGTCACCTACTCCAACCCCCTTACCCAGTGCGGGAATTAGTCAACGACAGCGCCCCACGCTGCTTAAAGGACCGCACGCCTTTTAAAAAATGTTTTAAAATGATTGAAAAAAGCATTTACAGGAGAAATTCTTGTGGGGGAGGTGCCTTTAAGAAAGGCGGTGGAGCCCCAAAAAGCCCCACCGTAGCTACAGGCCTGCCCACACTTACCTCCTTCCTCTCCTCCCTCCCAAGGCCATGACTGCTCCCTCCGTCTCTGGAACCTGGACAACAAGACCTGCATGCAGGAGATCACGGCGCACCGCAAGAAGCACGAGGAGGCCATCCACGACGTCGCCTTCCACCCCAGCAAGGCCCTGATCGCCAGTGCTGGGGCCGACGCCCTGGCCAAGGTCTTCATATGAACCGTGCGGCCTGCAGGTGAGCCGTGTCCTTCGGGGCGGTGGCACGTGGCTTCTGGGGAGAGTCCCAGGCATACCTCACGGTCTCCCTCTTCTCGTCATAGGTGCGTCACCAGGACTCCTCTCTCGCTTTCTCTGGCCCAGCCAGTGGTGCTAACGCTTCCCCTCTTTGCCACGGGCGCCCAGCCCCGTCTCAGCTCAGGCCTGACCCCTGCTGGACAGCGGCGGCTAGGGCGGGGTGAGAGGCCGTCCTCCTTCCTTGACCGTGGGCTCACCGTTACTCAACCAGCACCGGAACTATTTTTCCCTGCTCGTCTCGAGGTTGCCCGGTTTTTATCTCCCAGCTCGAGGGAGCGGAGTGGAAGCATCCTCCCGGACTGTCCTTGCAGGGAGGGAGGAACGCGGCCTGGGACGTTCAGGGGAGAGCTCACACGGCAGGCTTCCCGCACCCTCGCCGGCACGTACCGCCTTGGGCCGAGACGTCGGAGATCCTCGCGCTTTCCCTCCGCCGCCCCTTGGGCCTGTGACTCTTTTGTATTTTTCAAATAACCCGATTTCGGCTGTTTGGGAAAGTGAGGGGGGGGGAGGCGTAGTCTGGTGGGGAAAGAACACCCCACAGGCCTAGTGCCGAAGCGCACCTCGACTGGCACATGCCGCGGTCTTGGAACTCTTTGTCTCCCGGCAGAACTCCCTTGCCCAAGCCCAAGGAGGGACGAAATGCAAGCGGAACCTCCCTCGCCCATTCCCCGGTACCGGCAGGCCGCGGCCAGCACGGGCTTCCAGTCGGTGTGCCCTGCCTGGGTTTCTGGGGATGGCGGGGTCATCCGGTGGCGCTTCGGAGGCCGAAGGGCTGCCACGTCCCTTCCCCGTTTCTCTCCACTTGTGTCCCCCACACACACACGCGCAACTTCTGCCCACTCCAAATGCACCCTTTCTTGAGGATTCTCTCTCCTCCAGCGAACCCTCGCAGCGTGCGTGACCCACAGAAAGGGGGAAGGAGTGTGTGGGGATCCCTCCTCCCCTACTTCCGGTTGTCTTCCGCCAGGCGGCAAAGCTTCCCCACCCCCCCTCCGCCCGCCTCTGTTCCTCCTTCCCCCTCATTCCTGAGGAGCTCGCCGGTCAGGGGAGAGGGAGAAGCCGAGGAGTGTGACAGCACGGGAAGCGGACCGGGCCCGGAGGTGGTGCCGATCCGGTGGCCGGCCGCAAGGCGTGTCTGGGCTCCCTAGCGGCTGGCGGGCGGTTCAGAGCGGGCAGGAGGAGGTTGGAGAGTTTGAGAATGGGGCTGGGAATCATCAGGCAGGAATAGTTCCCTGTGGGCGCTCGGGGTGCGGGTGGTTGTTCACACACACACACACACAGCCTACCTTGGCCCAGGTCTGCTGGGGCAGAACGCTTCCCAGGGGGAGGGCAGCGGGAGTTCTGCCTTCACTCCTCCTCCTTCCCAGGGACTCGTGCCCAGAAAGGGGGAGGGGGATAGAAAAGGCAGTCAGGTCTCAGCTCGCTCAGACGGTGGCCGGGGGGGGGGAAGGCGGGAACGACTGAGCCCCACACTCCCCTTTACCCAGTGGGGAAATCTGGGGGGCGGGGAAGCGGCCGCCTTCCTCCCCTCTCAAGCCACCGATCGCCTAAGTCTTTTCTGGCTCCGGGCTTCCCCCATCTCAGCAATAAACCCCTCTCTCCCCACCCCCTCCCCAACCACTCACTCGATTCCCGAATCGCCACTGCGGGCGTTGGGGTCTGTGCCTGGGGAGTCGTCCTGTAAGGAAGGCCGTGTCGCCCACCCTCAGGGCGTAGCAAAAAGCGTCACAGCTGGCCTGGCGTCCCGAAGGCGAGACTGGCCGGAGGTGCGGCGGGGGTTAGAGCAACAGCCGTGGGGGGCTGCCCCCCCCCCCCCGCCAGCGCAGCTCCCTGTCCTCGCGTTCTTCCTCTTGCCCGTGGTGGGACTCAGCTCCCGCAGTTGGCGGTCCTCGCCAGACGTCTTAAAAAACGTTCGCCGGACCGGGAAGCGTAGCGCGTGTGGGTTTGACGGGCATGGCCCCCGCCTCTGGCCCTGTGCGCATCAGCTGAAGTCAAGAACTCCCCTCCCGTCTCAGGGAAAAGGTCTTTGACTTCTCCTGAACAAGCGAAGCGGGAATTGTCGCAGGGAGGTCAACCCTTCTTGAGCCCTCACCTCCGGACAAGACAGTGGTGGCCCCGTGCCCTTCCGCTGGTTGGCGTGACCCCGACAGGCCAGAGGGAGTTTTTTCCCGCCACACACACACTTGTTGCCCCCCCAGCAATGCCAAACCTCTCCAGCTTCTGCCCCAGGGTACTCTTTGAGGCCTTCCTAGTGGAACCTGTTAAGAGGAGGGGAAGAGGACCAGGGTATGTGTGTGTGTGGGGGGGAGCCCCGCAGCACGCCGACCTCATGGAAAGTTGAGCCATTGCGTGACAAATCAAGGCAAGGTGGCTTCCGAAGACGGCTGCCGCCGCCTACCCTCACCAAGGTGGGCTTCCCGTTTTCAAAGAGCTGCGCACGGGGTCCTGTCGCCCTTTGCCAGCACCTCCTTTCTCCTCTTTTCTCCTCCCCTCCTTTCTCCTCTCTCCTGCTCCCCTCCTTTCTCCTCTCTCCTGCTCCCCTCCTTTCTCCTCTCTTTTGCTCCTCCCCTTTCTTTGGCTTTGCTGCCTGAGGCAAAAAGACTCATCTCTCTTTTTGTACATTTTGTATAGTAGTTAAAATTGGATTTGCAAAAGAAACACCCCCCCCCCCCCCGGCGCGGGCACCCAAAGGGCTGTTGCTGAAGTACTCACAATCACGTTATCACTGTGTGATAGTTTCTACGAGCCATGGTTTCTCTTTTTTCTCTCTCTTCTTAAAACAGGGCTGACTAAAGCAGGGGGTGGGAGCAAGGCAGGGGAGGGAGGGAGAGACCCCCCCCCCATTCCTGCGGTTTTGGGGCATTGGGAGGACCCCGCAGCTGTTTTGGGGTCTTGGGAGTACCCCGGCTTGGACTCCCGGCTTTCTCTCTCTTGTTTTTCCCCATCGTCTTCCCGCCACTCCCAAATCTCGGGGCTCGAACACCGCCAACCACGAAGCCACTTCTTAAAAACTTCAGCCTGACCCCTCAACTCCCCCCCACACCTCTTCCCAGGGTCCCCACCCGTATTTGCGTGCCGTATTTATCCCGACTTAAGAGCACTCTCTGCCTTTAAGAGAAAGAAACAAAAACCCCAACAAAAAGCGGTTCGCTCTTGACTGTATATTTATTTGAGCTTCCTTTCTCTTCTCCCCCGTCCCCCTTTTTCTCTTCTCTATTTTATTTTTGTCCTGTTTAATCACAAGACTGAATTGTATGTTGAAGGGGGAATACGAGGGGGGGACCGTCTCATAATGATAATTAAAAGAAAATCCTTTGAAGTAAGAGCTGGGCTCCGACGGTGTCGAAATGTTCTAGTGGTGGATCAGAGCAAGAGGAAATTGAAGCGGTTTTCTGGGAGGGGTGGTCTTCTCGGGGGACATCCGGCAGTGGGTTTTGGTGGTGGTGGTAGAAAGGGGGCAGCGGCTGGGTGGCTTTGGACCCCCTTTTCCCAAGTTGGTGATGAAAATGAGGTGTTACGGCTGGGGAGTTGTGGGCATCCAGTTTGGGGGCCAGTTTCTTCGTTTTCACAGTGGGAGATGGGGGTCAGTCAAGTTCAAATGGTTCCCAGACTGCCATTAGGGACAGGGGTGCATCAGTTTTGCGGAGAGGGGGTTGCAGGGCACGGAAAGCTTTGCTTTTGGGGAGCGGGGGGGGGACTAGTTGCACTCTTGCTGGGGGTGGAGGGATGTCGCACACGGACTTAAATGTGGTTCTCTTCCACTTCTAGTTTGGCGTAGTGGTTAAGTGCGGGACTCTAATCTGGGAGAACCGGGTTTGATTCCCCACTCTTCCGCTTGCAGCTGCTGGATGAACTTGGGCAAGCTGTAGTTCTGTCAGAGCTGTCCTTGAAAGCCGCTCTGAAACTCCGAGTGAAAGGCGGCGTATAAATCCCTTCTCTGTGCGTGTGAGAGAAGAAGAAGAAAAGATTGGATTTATATCCCGCCCTTCACTACCCAAAGGAGTTTCAGAGCGGCTGACAAACTCCTTTCCCTTCCCCTCCCCACAAAAGACACCCTGTGAGGTGGGTGGGGCTGAGAGAGCTCTTGACAGAAACGGCTCTTTTTCAAGGACAGCTCTTGTCAGAACTACGGCTTGCCCAAGGCCATCCAGCCAGGTGCAAGTGGAGGAGTGGGGAATCAAGCCCGGTTCTCCCAGATTAGAGTCCGCGCACTTAACCACGACACTCAAACTGGCACTCAGAGGAAGACCAAAGCAGCAGTATTATTGGTTTGTGACCCATAACCGACAGGGAGGCCGTGTGCACGTGCCTTGTCCTCCCCTGGCCTGCACTGGCAGTGAAGGGGGCATGCCTCGGTGCCAAAAATCTCTGCTGTCCTGATTCCTGGGGCCGCCCGTCTTCCGAGGGCAGAGGCTGGAGACTGCAGCAGTGGCTGTTCCGGCACGGCCCCTCCCCCGCGTCAAGGGTACAGGGCAGAGTCCCCAGACTAAGGGAAGAGCAGGGAAGAGAGGGGGCTCTCTTACGGCATGCAAATATAGGGGGAAGCACCTGGGGCCCCACGGGACGGACAGGCGGCCGAGAAGATCCGTCCTCTGCTTCTGGCACACTTGGGGGTCAGGGGAACTTCGTCTTTGGGGTTTTTTTCCCTCCCGCCCCAAGTAGTTTCGCTTCTCACCATTTCATTCTCCGTCAAGCTATCCGGGGGCAAAAAGTGCCCCCAAGTCCCGGGCAGACGTCTGGCAACCCCGTGGGGTTTCCAAGGCAAGAGACGTGGCCCGCCTCGGGACCAGCGCTCCCTCTAAGATGACTTGGTGTGAGCCAGCTCGCCGTTTTTTCAGCCTCCGGTTCGCACGTTTTTGTCTCAGCTCAGGGAGGATGGGTCCAGAGGCAACAGATCGATGCAGCAGCCCAATCGCTGGTTCACAACTTGAATGCCGGTAGTTCACCAAGTAGGATTTTTGCTCACAAGGCTCCGCAGCCTAGATGGAATATTGCTCGGGGGACCCTGGGCTTTCTCGGCGGTCGCCCACCTGCACAAAACCTGGGGCCACGCCCACTTAGCTTCCGGGATCCGACGAGATCCGGTTCGCCTGGGCCACCCCCCTGGTCGGGGCTGTCAGGTTATTATGGGGAGGGGGCTTAATAAACTTGCAGATGGCTTCTTCATTGGGGGGGGGAGAATCCAAGGACTGTACAGTAAAGACCCCTCAGGCAAGTGGGCGCCAGTGCTCCCTCTAAGCTGACCTAGTGTGAGCCAGCTCAGAGTTCTTTAGCCTCTCGCTCACAGATTTTTGTCTCGGCTCGGGAAGGCGGGCCCCAGAGCAAACTAACTTTTTTAAAAAAAAACAATTTTATTGGGATCTAATAAAAAAGTCAAACACATGTCAAAATTACATTTGTTATATATCCTTTCCACCTTCCCCCCCCCCCTTCTTAGGCTTCCCACAGTGCTCCAAACCTCCAGCCCAAGTCTTAAATTCTATTATTTACTCCTTCCACCTTCATTTCACATCTATAGGTAACTTCTTTTTCAACGTTTGTTCTTATACGTTATATATTTATCTCTATTAACCTTTATATTTCAGTAGTTATCAAAGCAAAACAAATTGTCCTTCACATCCCAGTATTTCTCTAAATAGTCTTCCAGATCTTTCCAATCTGCAAAAAATTCTTCTGCTTCCAAGTTTTTAAGTTTCCTTGTCATTTTGCCCAGAGCAAACTAATCACCTGTTCACAACTTCAATGCCGGCAGCTCACAAAGTAGAATTTTTGCTCTCAAGGCTCCACGGCTTAGAGGGAGCATTGGTGGGTGCCTTTTCTCAGCTTTCGAAGTAAGCCTGCGTGCAAAGTTGGCTGAACTGAAGGATTATTTTTTGGGGGGAGGGTGGGGTGGAATACACAGTTTTAGAGACCTCTCGCCTCCAGGAAGGCTGGTCTCCCCTTATCTCCTTCCAGTGGCCCATATTGCATGCTCAGTCCCTCCAGTTTTTTTGGGTTCCTCCTTTTGGATTACTTCTATAAGCTTTTTTTCTTTCCCGCTTTCATGAGGGAGGTCCCCCAAGCACATACGAAATCTCCCCGGGTCTGCTCCTGCCAGGGCAGGACACGGGTGCCCTGCATCTGTTCTTCATCCCTCACACGCGTCCGTTTTTGCACGGGTCCAGAGGTCGGCTTCCTGCCTCGGCTTCTCCCCTCCTGCACCGCTTGCCTCCCTTCCTTCTGCAGGCCGAACCCCTGCAGGGAGCGGCTGAATACAGTTCTCAGTTGGGGGAGGGGGGCTTCTGGGGGAAGCACCTGCCAGCCCGGCCCTGAACAAGGCCATTCTTGTGCCCGAGAGACAAGCGGGGCTTTCAGACCGTGTGCCATGTGACGCGGAGGACGCGGGCCTCGGATCTGTTCCCGGAGGCCTGCCACGTGTCACAGCCTCCTGAAGCCACGGAGAAGGGGTTAGTTTCTCCTTTGTAGAAGCTTCATATCCACCGTGAGCATCTCCACGCCCCGGTACGGCTTTCAACAGTTGACCCAAGTGGGGGGTTAACTTTGCATCATGTCCCTATTCGAGGCTGGGAGGGCTTCAGTCCTACCGTGGAAAGAGAGCCTAGCGGCCGCGGCCTCTCATTTTAAAGTTTCTAGTCCCGACAGGAGAGTCTCCATGCATGTCCTCCTCTGCGGCGAGAGGAAACGGAACTAGGCGCATCCGTCTTTCAGTTTGCTGACATTCACGCAAAAGGTTCGTGGCAGCTTCTGAGCTTGCAAACAGGAGCGAACACCTGGCCCTGCTTAGGTCTGGTTTTTTAAAATCTTTTCTCTGAAGAAAAGGCTTTATTCATATGCTTTCCTGGACCAAATAAGGGTAAGCGGGCGTCCTCTCCGACGCTCTCTAAATGGATTGTCTCCAGGGCTTTTCTTTTTTGGTAGAAAAAGCCCAGCAGGAACTCATTAGCATAATAGGCCACACCCCACACCAGGAACTCATTAACCTATTAGGCCACACCCCTGATAGCACAGCTCATTGGCATACTAGGCCACACCCCATGCGTTGCCTGGGCGCCCCATGGCTGCGGGGAGCACAGGCCAGTGGACCCTTGGACAGGCCGGGGAAGGCCTCCCTGTTCCTTCCAGGGCCCCCCCCCCCGGCCCGCCCGCCTTGGAGTCACCGGGGGTGTGTGTGTCTCTCTCCAGGCCTCCCCTCTGTAGCCATGCACACAGCGGTTTTGGCTGTAGTTGGCGTGGCCAACTCTGAAGCCAGCCGGAACGCCATTCCTGTGCTTTCCCGTCCCAAAATAGCCCTGATCGTCTCAATGATTAAACAGAGTTATGAGTTAGCCAGGATAACCGTGTCTTCTAGATGTGCAGGCACATTCCACCGGAGCCGTGTGGCTTCTTCCGCTGCCTTCTGGAGTGGAGTTCCGCCATCTGAGGTCTGTCGGGCAGCCACCTGGTCGTCCGCGGGTACCTTTGTGCGTCCCTGTGCTCTGGACCTCATGGCTAACACTTGGCTGGTCCCATATTTGAGTCCTGTTGATAGGTAG